TATATATATATATATGTATATATATATATATATATATATATATATATATATATACACAGTTGAAGTCAGAATTATTAGCCCCCTTTTGATTTTTATTTTCTTTTTTAAATATTTCCCAAATTATTTTTAACAGAGCAATGAAATTTTCACGGTATGTCTAATAATATTTTTTCTTCTGGAGAAAGTCTTATTTGTTTTAGTTCGGCTAGAATAAAAGCAGTTATTAATTTTTTAAAAGCCATTTTTGGGACAAAATTATTAGCCCCTTTAAGCTATTTTTTTTTTATATAATTTACAGAGCAAACCATCATTATACATTACTTTGCCTAATTACCCTGACCTGCCTAGTTAACCTAATTAACCAAGTTAAGCCTTTAAATGTCATTTTAAGCTGTATAGAAGTGTCTTGAAAAATATCAAGTAAAATATTATTTACTGTCATTATGACAAAGATAAAATAAATCAGTTATTAGAAATAAGTTTTTAAAACTTTTATGCTTAGAAATGTGCTGAAACAATCTTCCCTCCATTAAACAGAAATTTGGGAAAAAAATAAACGGGGTGCTAATAATTCAGGGGGGCTAATAATTCTGACTTCAACTGTATATATATATATATATATATATATATATATATATATATATATATATATATATATATATATATATATATATATATATATATATATATATATATATATATATATATATATATATATATATAGTTGAAGTCAGAATTATTAGCCTCCCTCTGAAATTACTTTCTTTTTTAAATATTTACATAATTATGTTTAACAGAGCAAGGAATTTTTCACAGTATGTCTAATAAAAAAATTTCTTCTGGAAAAAGTCTTATTTGGTTAATTTAGGCTAGAATAAAAGTAATTTTTAAGGTCAATATTATTAGCCCCTTTAAGCTATATATTTTTTGATAGTCTACAGAACAAACTATCATTATTCAACAACTTGCCTAATTACCCTAACCTGCCTAGTTAACTTAATTAACCAAGTTAAGCCTTTAAATGTCACTTTAAGCTGTAAAGAAGTGTCTTGAAACATATCTAGTCAAATATTATTTACTGTCATCATGACAAAGATAAAATAAATCAGTTATTAGAGATGAGTTATTAAAACTATTATGATTAGAAATGTGTTAAAAAACCTCTCCGTTAATATATATATAAAATATATATAATATATATATATATTGGCATAAACAATCACATACTTCTGGCATTAAAATAAAGAAAAAACAGAGACATCTAGTGGTTAGATACTGAAAAAGGATAGTCACAGCTGTATCTATTTAATAACTTTTTTCCATTCACCCTCTCACACCTCAGCTGGTACATGATGTTTTTTTTAAAGGCATAGTTCACCCAAAAAGTCTGCAATGATTTACTCTCGCCTCAGTTGTTCCAAACAAATGTGAGTTTTTATTTTTGGGGGTTGGTTGAACACAAAATAAGGTATTATGAAGAATTTTTGAAACTGGTAACCAGTTCCCCAGTATTTGATATCTACATTTAGTTATTTAGCGTTTGGCCAAAGCAACTTACAATTGAGGAGGCATTCAGTGATTTAACAAGAAGAGGCAATACACACAAGAAGTGCTAATTAATACATAGCAACTGAGTGTACTCACAGAACTATGTACTAGAAGAGGGTGGAGTGTTTTTATATATATAGAGAGAGAGAGAGAGAGTGTTCCCACTCCCCCTGTGTCAAGCACACTTCATAAATGTATAATGTTTTTTTTTTTTGAGATATGGCATAATTGTAATGCTGTGTTCACACCAAACGCAAGACGCTCAGATAAATCGTGCTATTTGCGCGTATATAGATTTATATATACATTTAGAGTTTACTTGCTTAATTTGTGCGTAAAATCAGCTTCATTCGCGCGTCAAATTCATTAAGCAATAGACCTGGATTCACATCACAGGCAAGGCTTCTGTCTGCCCGGTGACTGTAGCTTGAGGGAATAGCTGTGTTTATGTGCTTTATGAAGGCTGAAAAACGGCGTTGATTCATTTGGAGCCGTGTCTGAGTCCACTAGATCCTTTCAGAGGTGCACCCTGCTCTGTGACTTCATAAACTCCTTAAGAAACTATACCTGGATGATGGAAGCATTCAGCGGTGCTTCCGACTGAGCCGAGCGCAATTTGATCAACTGTTGTTTGGTGTCGACACCAACAACATGGGCTATGTCATAAGCACTCCCCTACAAGAGAAAGCTCCTGATTGGTTAGCGTGGTGTGAATGTCTGCTAAAGTTCAGATTCTCAAACTTGAGCGATTCTTGCGTTAAGGATGTCAATCACTTGAATCGCTCAACTCGCGCCGCTTCGTTCATGGGTATGTGTGTGTGTGTGGTGCTGATCTGTATGTTGTGTTTCAGTGATGTCCAGAAGGCCTGCTCCGGCTCTGTGGCCTCTGTCTTCTCCTCTCTGGCTTTGTGTCCCACTGAACTGGTCAAATGTCGACTGCAGGCCATGCATGAAATGGAGGCATCCGGCAAGATCGCCAGCGGACAAAAAAGGTCAGTTTGGACTGAGGACAGTTTGGTAGTCAATAAAAAACATGAGCCTGTTGTAAATTTATGTTCAGTTTTGAAGATATGTACAAGGAACACTCAACTATTTTCATTATTTTTTTTTTTTTGAAAGTAGGATCATTTTACATCTCCCCTTGAGTTTACAGCCGATTCTAATGTTATCACTCGATTGGATTAGCGCTATCAGTAGGGGCCTTCTGCACCTACTGGTAGGTTTAGAAAGCTATTATAATCCATCCACATACAGTTAGGTCCATAAATATTGGGACATCGAGACAATTCTAATATTTGTGGCTCTATATACCAACACAATGCATTTGAAATTAAATAATTAATTTAATTTGAGGGTATTTACATCCAAATCAGGTGAACAGTGTAGGAGTTAAGCTGTGGTCACACTGGACTTTTCTCCCCATAGACTTCCATTCATATGCAGGCAAATGTGGAAATGTGAGCTCGTGCAACAAGTTGCTCAGTTCGCTGCGTTGCAAAGTTCAAGCTTGGTAAACTCTGACCTGCGAAATCCCATTACTTGACTGCGTGAGACCAATCGAGCATTAAAACATGACCTCTCTGGACAGAAATTTAGGATTATGGACCAATCGTTTACTTTTTTAAATGTCTTATCATCTTGTTTAATCCCGCCCCTTTTCATAGCGCCGTACTACAGAATTTTGCAAGCTCAAACTCTAGTGTGACCACAGCTTTACAACAGTTTGCATATGTGCCTCCTACTTGTTAAGGGTCCAAAAGTAATTAGACAATTGGCTTCTAAGCTCGTCCATGGCCAGGTGTGTGTTATGTCCTCGTTCTCCCAATTACAATAAGCAGATAAAAGGTCCAGAGTTCATTTTAAGGGTGCTTTCACACTTGGTTCATTTGCCTGGACCGTACCCAAGTTCGATTGTCTCCCCCTGCCACCTCCTCGGTTGGTTTGTGTTCACACTGTCTTTTTTCCTTCTGAACCCCGGTACGCTTGCGTCATCGAACTGCTGTTTTGTTTACGGCCGTTGCTAGGGGACGGCCACGCAAGCAAGCGCCGAAATGGAAAGACTTCCGCACATCGCGGTCATTCAGCTTTTACTGAAGCTTTTGGTTTCGCATATACAGGAAGCGACTCACATCCATCTGTCGCAAAAATATTATGAACATTCAGAACATCACACAGCGTCTGCAGAAGCTGTTTTTGGAGGAGACAAGCAGACATCACTGTGTATCACTGTGTTTGCTCTGGCTTAGTCCCGCGCGTGTCACCAAGGTACGAAACGTGACACACACACACACACACAAACACGAACGAACGTTATGAAAATGATAATACAGTTGGCGGTTCACTTCCGTGATTTGGTACGATTGAATTCACATCCGAACCGTAACAGAGTTCGCATGAACCGTATCCCAGACCACCTCTTTCAGGTGGACTCGGGTACGGTTCACGGGTGCGCACCCGAGTTCAGAAGACACGTTCACACTAGCTAAACGTACCGTACTATGACGTCAAACGAACCCAGGTGTGGACCAAAAGTACTAGTGTGAAAGCATCCTAAGTGTGCTATTTGCATTTGGAATCTGTTACTGTCAGCTTTCATGATGAGATCCAAAGAGCTTTCAGTATCAGTCATAAGGCTGAATAAACAAAACAAACCCAACACAGAGAGAGCAAAAACATTAGGCATGGCTAAAACAACTGTTTGGAACTTTCTTAAAAAGAAAGAATTACCACAGAAAACAACAGTGGTGGATGGCCAAGGAATTCTTTACCTGGTTGGCCAGATCAAGAACAGGTGTATAGCTGCGTCCTAAATGGCACACTATGCACTATGCAACTCATGCACTATGTACTTATGCACTTACACACTCAACAGGATAGTATATGTATGTAGTGTCGTCCCAAATGGCACACTAATGTGTTTTTACTAAGCGAAAATTCAAGCCGTTTCCCTGATGATGTTTGACGGTCGCCAAATCGGTGAAATAAACGACCGAATTATCAGATAATATCTGCCGTGAGTATTGCCGCATTCACCATCGGGAGGCGCTAAAATCACTGTAGTAGGAGAATTTTGCTTTCACCATCCAAAATAAATAAAGTTATTCAACATGTGCGTCTGATAGCTCCGCCCCTTCCGCTACGTAAGCAAACATGCGGTCGTTGAGTGCGTGTAGTGTCTATCATTCCACACTTCTTTTTAGCGGCTGAATGAGTGCATCATCCGGGTAATTAAAGTGCACTTATTATTTTTAGAGTTTTCAGTGTGAACACACTACTTACACTATTTATACTACAAAATGGCGTAGAAAAGTGCATAAGTATGCGATTTGGGACGCAGCTATTGTGTGTCAAAGTCAATCAAGAGAAGACTTCACCAGAATGAATACAGAGTTTTCACAAGATGTAAACCAATGGTGAGCCTCAAAATCAGGAAGGCCAGATTAAAGTTCTAAAAAAGCCTTCACAGTGCTGGAACAACATCCTATGGACAGATGAGACCAGGATCAACTTGTACCAGAGAGATGGGAAGAGAACGAAACTGCTCATAATCCCAAGCAGTGAAGCATGGTGGTGGCAGTTTCATGGCGTAGGCATGAATGGCTGTCAATGGAACTGTTTCTCTTGTATTTATTGATGATGTGACTGCTGACAAAAGCAGTATGGATTCTGAAGTGTTTCCGGCCATATTTTCTGCTCATATTAAGCGACATGCTTCAGAACTCATTGGACGGCGCTTCACAGTGCAGATGGAGAATGGCCCAAAGCATACTGCAAAAGCAACCAAAGAGTTTTTGAAAGGAAAAAAGTGGAATGTTATGCAATTGCCAGATCAATCACCTGACTTGAATCCCATTGAGCTTGCATTTCACTTGCTGAAGACAAAGCTGAAGAGAATATGTCCTAAGAACAAGCGGGAACTGAAGACAGTTGCTGTAGAGCAGGGGTCACCAATCTCGGTCCTTTAGGGCCAGTGTCCCTGCAGGGTTTAACTCCAACTTGCTTCAACACACCTGCCTGACTGTTTCAAGTATGCATATAAGACATTGATTAGCTGTTCAGGTGTGTTTGATTAGGGTTGGAGCTAAGATCTGCAAGACACAGACCCTCCAGGAACAGGTTTGGTGACCCCTGCTGTAGAAGCCTGGCAGAGCACCACCAGGAATGAAACCCAGCGTCTGGGTGATGTCTATGTGCTCCAGACTTCAGCCTGTAAATGATTTGCAACCACGTAATAAAAAGTGAAAGTTTGATTCCTGATTATTAATCTGTCCAATTATGTTTGGTCCCTTGACAAGTGGGAGGAACATATGCAAACTGTTGTAATTCTCACAGCGTTCACCAGATTTGCATCCCTCAAATTAAAGCTGACAGTCTGCAGTTAAAGCACATCTTGTTTGTTTCATTAAAATGTATTGTGTTGGTGTATAGAGCCATGGATGTTAGAATTGTGTCGATGTCCAAATATTCATGGACCTAACTGTATATTAATATATTTTCAATAAAGTGGAAAACTAATTACAAAACAATGTAAACTTGACTGACTGCTTCATTTCCACTTCCATCTCTCTGTTCCAGCACGGTGTGGTCTGTTGTGAGAAATGTGTTGCGGACAAACGGTCCTTTGGGTTTCTATCAGGGCTTCACCACCACTATTGTCCGAGAGCTGCCTGGATATTTCTGTTTCTTTGGAGGTTATGAACTCAGCCGCTCCATATTTGCCCACCACATGGCCACAGACAAAGAGCACATCGGTCAGTCCACATCAACAGCACTTCACAAATCACCATTCATTTATCATGTACTCATCCTTAAGGGATAATTTACACAACAATTCAATTCTGCCATCGTTTACTTGCTCTTGTTATAACATACCTTTAAATAACATACCTTGATGGATTAATCAGAGTATCAATTAGCATACAATTTTTGCATAGTCTTCCTCTTGGCCTGTGCTTTTATTTGCATTTTATGCAGATATTATTATCTAGATATTATCATACAGATTTTAATATCATGATGATCATTGCGATGGTCTTACCATATTTGGTGTCCTCAGCAATAAACTATCCATGCACTTGACCCTTCATTAAGCCACACCCAAAAACCACAACCCACCAATCGTGGCTTAGCAACTGTACCTACGCCAGGAGCTCTGTCAAGCTTTCGAGCTGGGGATACAGGCCAAAGCGTTGTGCATATGGATTGTGCAAATCTGATAACCGGTATCCTAAAAGTTTGGACAGGATGGTGAAATTTTTGCCCTTTTCAAAACCAATAACCCAAGAGGAAATATGCCAGCGTGGATCAAGCTCTGTTAGGGGTGCTAAAGGAGCGGAGTTAAGTTAGTTTTGTTTCGATATTCCTGACACAGACATAGACGCCAGTAACTCACACACCTCTTACCCTAAACAGATCTAAACTGTGTGTCCTACAAAAATACAAAGCTTAAAGTTATGTTTCACAGTGGTCTTTTCCCTTTTTTTTGTTTTTTTTTTCGCTCGATATTATGAGCACTGCTCCGTTTAAGCCTTTGCCATAGTAGTCACACTAATAGCAATCATATTTCCATCCGTTTCAAGCTAAGAATATTTAAAAATACATATCAACAGAACAAAACCGAGATATGATCACAATCTGAGCACTTGCGATCAATATACTTCACCCGCAGCTGCTTTTCAGTCATTTATAAGCCTCATGCCCATGTCAGAGCTACAAATCACTGATGTTTTCGTCCGTCTTTTGAAGATTTATACATTGGTGACGATGTTATAGCGGGTTGGTGTCTGCTTTTATATTTGGTGTTGGATTAATATTTGCTGATAGGGAAAGTCTGTTCACTTCTGCTATTAATACTTTGATTTGTGTTTCAACTTATTTATTTCTTCCACTTAACTGCAAATTAGAATAGAAACACACACACAACATAATAGAGCACACAAACATACTGACAGTTATAGGTACTAGGTCAATGATGCTAATGTTCAGCACAAATCCATCAGTTTCCTGTTTCTGGCTGTTCTTTCTATGAATGAACTAACGTTATGTAGAAGCTCTGTCCATGCGTGTTTCCTCGTTGGTTGGTAACGCTATATTTCATTGCACAACATTAGTCTATCGGGCTTTTTGGCTAAAAAAAGTGAAGTCACGGTTTAATTAGTTATTATTAGATTATTTTTAAATGTCACCTCTCCTGCTGTGCATGAACTAAGCTGTTGAATGGTTAGCGTAGGCTAGGCTAACCTAGCTTCCATTTTGATTGAATTATTTTCTAATCGGTTGCTTACTATGTGGTGAATATACCCCTGTAATGCATACTGCTGTCCCTTTTCGTCTGGCTTTCTCGGATATCTCACCTGTTTGCCTTATTATGATTTTTAATTCAAATTGTATTTGCGATCCTCAACAAATTCCCAAGGTCTGGACTTTCGAAGTTTATAAGGCCTGCTAAATAGGTTCTCGGTGGTGGAGATTTTTAATAAGGCTTATCTGAAAGCGGTTTATCTTTTTGTTTTCTACTCAAAAAAAGAGGAAATGTTTATGACTGTGTGTGTGTGTGTGTTTCTACAGGTGTCGTGCCGCTGATGTTCAGTGGGGGTTTTGGCGGTGCGTGTCTCTGGTTGGTTGTGTATCCTATAGACTGTGTGAAATCTCGCATTCAGGTTCTGTCTCTAGCAGGGAAACAGGAAGGTTTCATCAAGACTCTTATGGGGATTTTACGAAACGAAGGTGAGAGTTTTGATTTCAAGATCTGAGGCACCCAGGAATCATGCCGTCTCCCTTGAAACCATAAGTGATTGATCTTAACAGACAGTGACAATAAAATGCAATAAAGATATAAGCAATTTAGAATTATACGGTTCTTTCTGCCTTCTGAATGGTTCTGGGATATGATTATTTTATTTATTATTATTAGATCATGATTATTATTAGATTTAGATGTTATATATTTAAAAACGGCACCAAAATATTGTATTGTAATTCTAAATAATGTAAAAAATGTGCACAAAATAATAATGTACAAAAATGTCAAGAGAACCTATGTTAAAAAAATGCAGGGACAAATTAGCATTTTTGAATATTTTGATGTAGTTATGGAGATGTTAATTTAAATGTCTAAAGTTTTAACAGAAAACTAGAAAAAAAAGAGTAATGTAAAAAATGAAATTAATGCAGAGATGGGGGTCTACTAGTGATGTGGCTACCGCCCGCTGTTTAAATGCAGCATCTACCACCTTGAACCTGAATTTACGTAAAAGCAATATCAGATTTTCATTAGTCTTTAATGGAAGCAGGTGGGCAATTTTGCATAACAAAACGGAGCCTATAACTGCCTCCTTTCATTTTCATTGAAAATTCAAAACATACCCTCTCTTTTGCTGAATATCAATTTTAATAAACAATAATGGCCATTATTAAAGTATAACGTACAATAAGTTTATACATTATAGGAAATAAAGGCAAGCAATCAGTCAAATGTGCAGAATCAGTGTACGTGGTTACATTGTTTAATATTTTAACTTATCTTTGCGCCAAAACACGTTCCCTGAGAACATGTAATAGATTCAGAAGAGCGAAGTCAGGGAATATGTTGTTAGATATAAACAACAAGGTGATTTAAATATCACGTTTATCAAATATAGTGAGATAAGATCCAGGGGTAGATCCTTGATGAACAGTCCGACGTGCACAGCTCTCATCTGGGTAGATGACTGCCTTGAGCTCAGACGTCCACATACGCTGCATCGCATGCTAGAATGTGTGTGTAAGGTCACGTTAGGGCTGCACGATACATAGTTTCAGCATCGAAATCGCGATGTGCGCATCCGCAATAGTCACATCGCAGGAGGTGCGATGCAAACCAAAAAAAATAAAATAAAATTATATATATATTATGGGTGGAGCCTAACCCGAAAAGCGCGTTTTTACCAATACTTATTTCGAACAAATACTTGAAAAATTATTTGTATTCGGGAACAAGAAAAACATATCAAAAAGCTGCGTTTCCTCATGAGACCGCAGTGCATGCCCGCATGAGTGAGTGAGTGAGACATTCAGGAGTCGGGGGGCGAGGTGGGGCCGGGGTAAAAGGTGACTGACGCAGGCTGCTGCTCCACACAGCAACAGAGAAGGCTTGGCAGAGCGAAAAATACTTTACTGCATTACTATTTTTGTATCTGAACTGGGTTCCAGAGGCAGTTTATAAACTTGTAGCGTACTTAAAGCGGAGTTTGATCTGTATATTTTTCCATTACGCTGCATTATTGACGTCTGCAATCTGTTGCTCTCTGTTTACGCAAGTTAACTCTGTTAGCGCGGTAATTAAGACAATAGACTTATGACAGAGTAACGGTAACGTTCAGTTATAAAGGTTAAAACGATGCTTGTGTAGTTGTGTCGAATTGTATGCTCTTATAGGAGTTTTATGGTACGTTTAAATTACTGTCATTTGCAGACAGCAATATATATGCTAAGCTGGTTAACCTTAGCATAGCTTCCCGTCACTTCTTTGTGGAAGAATTTTACAGTCAGTGGTGCAGCAGATAAAACAGTGATACTGCATGTAATGTGTGCAAA